GGGGGGGGGCTTGGGAAAAGGGAGAGAGGGCAAAGATAGGTGTACAGTATACAGACATACAGGCCCGATTAGGCACACAAAGTGAGAGACAATGGGAGAGGAGAGAAATAGAGAGGAGGTGGAGTGGAATAAAGAGAGAAGAGGAGAGGAATAGAGACAGAGAGAGAGAGAAGCAGAGTGAGAGAGAAAGGGAGGGGGGTGAAGAAGAGGAGACACAAGATGGATGTTCAGAAACCTCCGCCCTATCTATCTACTCACCTCCAGCTGGTTCCCGAAGGATGACCCCTCACTGTCACTGTCACTCAGTGCCAAAGCGAGCCTTTGAAGCCTCTGGATAGCGTCGCCGTAATCTCTCTTCTCAGGCACGAAAGCGCCCCAGTGGGTTTGGGGTTCGTCGCTGAACGGAAAGAAGTACCGCTTGTCCATCCTTTCCCCTGGGTAATAGTCCATCATTGACCGCTTGTCCTCGGGTCTATACTCCTCCTCCGTCTCCAAGGGACGGTCGAAAGCGCCGTATCTTTGTTGTTGTCCGTAAGCGGCGAGCACGTCTTCGGGTAAGTACGCCGCGAGCGCTTCCTCTTCCGCTCTATCTCTGACGTCCTCGCTCTCCGGAATATACTCCGGTCTGAGAGGGACTTGCTCTTCTTCAATCTCCTCATAAGGGCTCCTCCTCCCTTCCTCCGCTTCTTCCTCCGCTTCTTCCGCTTCCTCCTCCTCTGCGAGTTCTTTCGCGTAGTTCTCTGCGAGTACTGTGAGGAAAAGTTTGTACATATACTCCACTTCCGCCTCGCTCAGAGGTGTGCTGTCCACGTCATCGTCATAAGCGTCGCTGGACCTCTCCTCGGGGTATTGGGAGGGGTAGAAGGCGTAGGGGATGCCGTAGTTGTCGTCCAGGAGGTCTCTCTTGATCCTTCTCCTGCTCCTCTCTACGTGGCGGGTGCTGGACAGACTGGGGGAGCGTCGTCGTCTGTAGTACAGGTAGGGGATGGGTTGGAACAGATCTTGTGCTGGGGAAAATGACAAACAGTTTCAAAAAGGGAAAAAGGTCACTGTTAATTCAATACACTGTGCAAATGTCTTATAAAATGAAATGAAATGAACTTAAAGCAAAGTAATTTTGAAAATGGTGAAATGGTATCGGATTAACACCCCTATTTGGTTATTTAAAACACGGGACCTCTGAGTTTAACGCCCATCTCCGAAAGGACCAAGCCTAGTCGGAAATTTGTGCAAAAATGAAATTAAATGACTTAACATACTGTAACATAGAATAAACGAAAGCAAATATAAAAACAAATACCCCCCC